ACAGTGACATTTTGAAATGTTGCTTTAAGAGCATTGGCTACTGCAATTTCAAAATCAATAGTAACAAATTTTGGCTCTTTGGTAATATTATTAATAATTTCGTTAAACATTTCTTCATATAATTGTTCTGATTTTCCGCTTAAGAATGCATAAACTAACGGTACACTTTTGTTTTTAATTATTCCATGAATTGTATACATTTGATGAAATAATTGAGGTGCAATTTTAAACGTGCCATCACAATGCCATCTTTCTGAATTCGATAAACGTTCAAGGTCTTTGTCCGATGCAAATATAATAATTCCGTGTTGGTGATGATTAATACCACATAATAAAAAGCGTTCATTTGTTGTTGTTGTAAGAGTAAGTTCTTGCGGAAAATGAATATCACTCAGCTGTTGTGGTGTTGGTAATGGATGATCTGCTTTTTTACTACGTCTTTCGATTGTACGTTGTGACGCTTGATATGATGGAAGTGAACTGATATCATCTGGATGGATAGCTTGTTCCGCATTTCTGATTAATCGACGAGGTGGATCGTGTGAAGCCACTGATTTTTCTCTAATAGTTGATTTAAATATTGCAGCAGTAATCTTATCAGGATCTGGTGCGTGATTATGATCAATACTGATATTATGAACACCATTAACATATTAGTAACATTAACATTAACCATTAACATTAATAAATTAGTATTCATTAATATCGTCAAACAGCATCGTAGAAAAATATGCACAAAAATTTATTAGCATTCCTCATTAAACTTATTGTATCCAACGGAAATAAATAATATTCGAATCGAAAATAAACCGAAAGCTTTTTGTGCCCAAATGTCGTGGTGTTCAAATATCGTTGTGCTCAAATGTCGTTGTGCTCAAATGTCGGCGTGCTCAAATGTCGGGGTCCAAATGTTTTGTGCTCAAATGTCGGTCAAAATTGATCACAGGATTTTCGACCAATTCCTAAGTTGTCTGACTTCGCTCTCTTTTAAAACCTAATGTTACATATTAAAATGAAGATCTTCTTTCCTCATAGACACACATAAATCTGAAGATTGTTTCGAAATCCTTTTGTTTATAACTCCATCATGTTTCCCATTTTAAACGTACAATGATTGTGCTGATGACTTTTTGAAAGAAAACAACTTTGAAATTTTTTATAAATTGGTTTTGTATATATATTTTTATGTGAAAAAAATCTAGCAAATAGAAATTGTCAGATAATTTCTTTTCCAATGAGGATGTACACAAATAATAAATCATAAAGATGCAGAACTTTTCACAAATCGATCTTCAAAAGCTTTATTTCATTGATCATTTTCGTACATCAAATTTGAAAGATTGACAAACAAATTATTTCTTTTTCAATATATAGATCAATCTCATTTAATATTTAAAAGTCTTGATAATCATTTTATATTTACAAAAGTAACAACAGTTGTTAATAATATAATCGTTGGTGAATGTATATTTATTAAATAATTACTTTTTTATATCAAAACTAACTTTGTTTTTTTAATGTAGGTTGACGAAATAGACATAAGAAATCATATAACAAATGATCTTTGACAATTAAAATTATTTCCTACTAGTTTTTTTTCAAAGAATGTTTCACATAAAGTAACTGGTGTTATAACTGATTCAAATTCTCAAGCTCCTTGGGTATTAACTGGTATACGAACAGAAAAAATTGAAGAGCGATCAGTATGAATAAACATTAAATTGTGATATAAATTCTAATACGTATAGATCTGTTCACATGAAACCAATTTCGGAATCGATCTAGATCAATTTTTTGCAGAAAAGTCTGTACTATTATATGTATACTTAACCGTTTGGTTACGGGTGACCTATATATAGGCATTGAACTTTTGTAGGTATTGTCTTCAATATAATGTCATTTAAACTTTATTAAAAGAACTACTGTATCTTTCTCTTATTTTAACAAAATAATTGCGTCACTATTGCGTATTACCTTCTACATATATTCTCTCGCATACCGACTTTTGACATTCTATCACGTTCTAGTAAATTCTGACGTATTCTTTTTCGTTTTTCTTTCAAAAAACGCTCTCATATAAATAAAGTTTCGATTCCATACTTGAAACACCTCATATCTTTGGATATATATTCTCACAGAATCGAAATTCTCATTATTCGACACAATACTTTATACAGACAGTTAATTATTGATATCCATTACAAAAGAATTTTCTCTAAATATGGCAACGTGTACAACTAACGATCCACATGAAATTCAAATGGATAGAGAATCTGAAGGCGATTCTACTATGGAAATTGATGCAGTTTATTCATCAGATGTGGATAGTAGTGAATCGGATGATGAAATAGGATCGTCGAAACAACAATCTACTGATCGAATTTGGAAGAAAACTGCATTCAAACCACATCTCTTCTCCTTTGATGAAACAAATGCTGGTCTTTCATCGAACATAGACGCTATGAAAGATGCTACACCTCTTGAATTTTTTCAATTATTGTTCAATGAAACAATAATTGATCTAATTGTTGAAGAAACCAACAAGTACCAGGCTTTTTCTAACAACGATGCTACATCCTCAGCAAGTTCCCATCAAGCAAAATGGACAGAAACAAATCGCTCTGAAATATATACTTTCCTAGCCACAATTATGCTCATGTCTGTAATTAAAAAGAATAAGATCCTCAACTACTGGTCAACTGATCCAATGATTATTACACCTATGTTTGGTCAGTTATTTTCTAGAGACAGATTTCTGATCCTTTTGAAATACTTACATTTCAACGATGAGTTAACTCAAATGGACGATGGCAAATTACATAAAATCAAACCAGTGATAGACGATCTGCGGAAGAAATTCAAATCACTTGTTATTCCGAACAAAAACTTATGTATCGATGAATCAGTCATTCTTTGGAAGGGGCGATTGGGGTTCAAACAGTATATACCAAGTAAATGGCGTCGATTTGGCATAAAAGTATTCGTGATTTGCGACTGTGAAACAGGAGTAGTGTTGGATTTCATCGTATACACTGGTGCGTCTACGGATATTGCTCTAGACCGAACTTTGGGAAAATCTGGTTCCATAGTTATGACTTTGATGAAACCCTATTTGAATAAGGGACACTCACTTTTTCTCGATAACTGGTATACCAGTCTTCGTCTATTTGAAAAATTATATGAACTCAAGACCGGTGCATGTGGTACTGTACGCCGAAACCGTATTGGTTAAGTCAAACTTGACAAGCTCACAAAAGGTGATTTTGACTATAGTAACAGCAATAATCTAATGGTTTTGAAGTGGCAAGATAAACGAGAGGTCCTTATGCTACGTACAATTCACAAGCCGAGGATGATAGAAACACAAAAAAGTGATTGGAAGACACAAAAAATAACATGGGATTAGTCGATAAAACTGACATGCAAATCAGTTTTGTAGAATGCTTACGAAAAACTATTAAATGGTATAAAAAATTCTTTCATCTGTTGGATTTATCAACATTCAACGCATATATGTTATTCAAAATGAATCATAAAAAGTCTATTCATTTTGGAGATTTTCGAAGCGAACTTATTCGACAATTGATCGAAAGGTATTCTCAACCGAGACCTATAGGTGGCCGTCCTATCACCAGTGATAATCCCGTACGTCTTACGGGACGTCATTTCCCATCGCTTGTTCCAGCAACAGCAACACAAGAAAGTCCACAAAGAGACTGTATAGTTTGCAGTCGCACAAGTAGACATGAGAAGAAGCGTACAAAAACACGTTATCAGTGTGATATTTGTGATGTTGGACTTGTGTGATAGGTTGTTTTGGAGACTATCATACTTTAAAACACTTTTGAGCACTTTCCTATACTACTGAAACTCATTATAAACTATTTCAGAACGAAAAATAAAAGATGCATCTGCAAAAAAAGCCCCGTAACCAAAGGGTTAAGGAAAAATCCTCTTCACTTTCACGCTTGCCAGTTCATCCAGTGGGAACAAAGACACTATTACAAAACAAAGTTTTTTTTTAAAATTTGATTGAAGAGAAGACACTCGCAGGCCTTTTCACACTACATGTCCAAACTCAGATCGTTGGTTTACATTCGACTTCTTCATCAATGACTTTATAGAATATAAATAGAAAATGAAGAAAATAATGCTTGTGATTAGAAGAAATCTTTATTGATAATCATCGAGATGATAAAACTATAAATTAAAAAATTTACGTGCCTAAGTTATTTCGTCGTTGTTTGTTCTACATGTACCTTGTCATCATGACGAGAAACAAATAAAAACGCAAGACCAAAGACGAACGCCTGGATTTCCAGTGTTCCACAGATCCATAATATTTTTGGATTCTCTGATCTGGTACAAGTGCAATCTTAAGAATACTGCCGAAAGCTGATGTGAATAGAAAAAGTGACATGACGATGGCTTTCATTGATTCTGGTGCTTGAGTAAATGCATATTCGAGACTAGTAACGGAGGCAAACATTTCAGAGATAGCAATAAAAAAATACGCTGGAATTTGGCAAGCTACAGTTATCTTGTCATTTGATGGACAATCATCATTAGGATTAGCCGTATCGTAGCGTTCGGATCGTTACGATAGATTAAATGTTGCATGTCATACCAACTGCAACACAAAAGAAACAACAAAAAATACGAGAAATAGCTGAAAAATTGATTTTACATCGTCGCAAGCCTATTTATCAAAGATTGGAATGAAAATAACTATAATAAGCGGATCGATATTTTGTAAAATATGATTCGGTAGAGAACCTGAAGAGAATTCAAAATCGAACAGTGCGCTTTATTTTTAATCGTTATAAAAGAAGTTATGAATTTACCGACGTTCATTTGCGCAGCTTGAGATACTAAATTGTTTCCAAACTGATTGTAACAGGCCCAATAGAACGGATAGAAAAGAAAAACACGACAAGCACGTATTGCTTTTTTTAAGATTATATTACAAATTATTATAAAGAGGCCGGGGAGCGTTTTTTCCTGACCTCACTGTTCTAGATTTTGTAATTGTCTTTTACAATGAAGAACGGTCGTCCAGCTGAATTAGAAAAACAATTAAAACCA